TTCTAGACGTTTCTACAGTAGAAGGTTCTGAAATTATCTGAGTCTTTATATAAGGCCGGTATAGATCGCGACTCCGTCAGTATTGAATTGGCTCTACAAGCGAATACTGCGAAACGATACAACTGCGAACTAAATTCATCAGTAGTACAATTGTGTTTTGTTATTAGTGTGGTTTTAAGTTGTAATTAGTGTTCTGTAATTAAAGTGTCAATTTTGGTAATTCTCTCGGTAGTTTTTAATTGTCTCGAACCCCAAGCTCGTAACATTATGACTCTCATCACACCAAAAAAATTATGTAAACTTTTTACGTCATTTTAGTGTCATTAAATAAAATATTTAATTTCCAATAACTAAGGATCAATTCAAACAGCCGTCACATTGGTGGCATCTTGGATGACGTCACTCGGTCCATTAGACGCTGTAATAATAGCATATGATTGGTCGGACGGCGTCGAACGCACATCAAGAAACGTCAAATCCAATAAGAAAGCGCCTCCATGTTTTTGAAGTGCGTTCCTTTTACAAAAATACACTTTGAGTTAAATAGGAAAGCACTGAACTTAAAAGTCGTTACACGATAAATCATTATACAAAAAATACACAAGTTTGCGCGTTTACCCCTAAAAAGAACCCCTTTGTCGTATCTCCTCAATTTTAGGGCACTTCCCTTGTTGCCGCAGCCAATATAGGAATCTTCGGCGTCGACTTATCGAATGACCTGCAGTGTCGTGTTCACTTGGAAGAGAAAGCTAAATTGGCTTCTAAAAAGCTTGTCGTACTCAATAGAGTGGGACGGTATTTCCGTCGGGCCGGCACATCGTTTGCAACTTTACAATGTGCAGGTTCGGCCTCATATGGAATACTGTTCTCATCTCTGGGCCGGGGCTGCCCAGTGCAAGCTCCTTCCACTTGACCGCATAGAACGCAGAGCGGCTCAAATCGTCGACGACCGAGTTCTCTTTGATTGGCTCGGTTTACTGGTGTTGCGTAGAGAGATGTTGCATTGTATTTCGTATCGTTTTTACCACGGGGACAGCTGTGAGGAATAGTTCGGATTAATTCCAGCCTCCAAATTTCACCATCATACATCGCAACAAAACTTACGTTACCATCCACATCATTTGGATGCTTAGCGGTCCACTATCGTGCGATTTATTAGGAGTTTTCTTCTTTACACGAATACTTTTTGAAACTGTTTACCATCGGCGATTTTTACGGACCGATATGACTTAAGGACCTTCAAGAAACGAGCTTACTCCTTTTTATAAGGCCGGCAACGCATCTGCAATGCTCCTAGTGTTGTAAAGTTGTATTGAAATATTTAAAAAGAAGGCTATCTTGTTGACTGGTTATACTGGTTGTATTGGCTGACATAGAAGTTTCACGTTAAAACCAATGGTCATGTGGCCCGACTCGGGTCCATTCGATTTCTTTATTGGTATGAGTACAGTATCGTTTACTATTTCACCTCCTCAAATATTGTAGATGATTAAATCAGCATCCTGTATAATATTTTTCATCGGTAACACCAATCGATAAACGTTGTCAATAAATAACTCATTTGGTAAATAAATAGTGACGTTACTGGATAACAGAGGGCTGCTTATTACAATAAGGATAAATGTTCGAGAACAATCTACCAGAAATAATAAAATTTAAAATTATTGTGTAAATATACAATATACTTGCGATAATAAACCAAATCACATTCAGTTTTTGTTCCATAACGGGACTTAAAATACCTTAATGTAAAATCAGGCACATTATTATAAAAAAAAATTTAGGAATCAAATGCGTCTTGGCCTTTTAACGATGCCAGTAAGACTAAATGACATTAATCCGAAATATATCCTATAGAACAAAAGTAACAGATGACCATATTGTTGCTGATGTCCGATCTCTTTTGATGTCTTTAGTGAGATACAAAGAGATTTAAATATATATACTACTTATATATATATTTAGGTCCGCTATAAACGAAATTTCATATGCGATATTTTTAAAAGAAAAATATATAAATGTAATTTTTGTCTACTTTTAAGAATTCATTTAGCGAATATAAATAAACAGGTAAAAATATCCTAAGTAACGTTCGAAAAGTATAACACAAAGAAAAAACTTTTCAGAAATTCCGAAGTACTTGATACTTTGATATTTTGCAAAGAATAAAGTCACGTTGTTGATAATTTGCATGAATTTGGTAAATATATTTTTATACAAAATATTTTACATGTACGCTAGGAATTGACAAAACTATATTAAAATTAGTGTCGATATTTATCTTTAATGTTTATAATGAATCGATAGATAGATAAAGAGCCTACACAGCAGCGACTCCGATACATTGCAGCGGCAGGAGGCGCAACTCAGCAGAACATGAGCATTGACGTCAACGGATGCAATCGGAGCTCTGCAATATACCTTTAGTTTATTTTTAATGTAATAATTAAAATTCATTCTAGATCTAGCATCAATCTGATTCACTTTTATTTTAGTTGTAGTAATTATATTGTAATTTTATATTATTATAAAATATTTCAAATTAGTTTCGGTTTTTTTTTTTGGTCTTTCGGCTGCAGTTAATGTAATTGGCGCAGTCGGTAGGATACTCAAAAGTTAGGCTATCGTAGCTTTCAAGCTTTAAACGAGTGTTCGAATCTACTACGGACCAACTGCAAGCCAAGGGGATACACCAAGACATCGATCCCGAGAAAACTGAGATAAAATTTATGTAAGTAGGTACACCAGAATTTTATTTAGTGTTGCTTCCCTTTTCCTAGTGTAAATCTTTCATGTCAAAATTTTCCCAGCCACGTAGACAAAGTTTAGACTATAATAGAGATTTAAGTTATTTAGAGTTAGATATAATGACCGAGGAATCAAAAATGGCCCACGACCCTGACACTACTTTCAAAGTTTTACGCCCAGTGCCAGAGTTTGACGGTGACCCTAATGTACTTACTAGATTTATAAAATTATGTGAGCAAATATGTGCTGCATATCTAAGTAATGATCCTGGCAGTGAACTATCGAACTTAACGGTATATTAAATTAAATAACTGGATCCGCCGCGACTACTTTAAATTCAAATGGTATTCCTGAAAGCTGGCAGGCATTCGTACAGCTTTAATCAATAACTTTTCGGATTAAAAAGACGAAACGGCGCTCTATAATGACCTCTCGTTAGCTACTCAGGGAAACAGCTGTCCCCAAAAATTTAATGCACGATGTCAGACACTGTACAGAACTATCATGACGTATGTTACGCTTCATGAAACCTTGCCTACTACAATAGAAGCCAAACGTATATTATATAAAAATCTAACGAAGCAAGCTTTCGTACGCGGTTTAACGGAGCCACTTGGCTCACGAATACGTTGCATGCGTCCTGATACCGTTGCAAAAGCCTTAGAGTTTGTACAGGAAGAACTGAATGTTATGTACTTGCAACAACTCGGTAAACCTTTCGCTGAGAAGAAACCTCAAGCACCTAAGCCTCTCCAACCTAGCCATATGACCTTACCTCTGCAAAAACTATTCAGTTTTCTTGCACCGATGCCAAGAACCAATTTACAGCCATCTTTACATGTATCACAACAACAAGGTTTCAGGCCTAACGTGCCACCACAGTATAACATGCCTACGCAAACTCAACAAATGTTCCGCGCTTTGCTACCTAATTATACACCCCATAGTAATACGTTTAGATTACCAAAGAGGAATCCACCCCATGACTCAGGTCCGAAGTCTATGAGTGGCGTTAGCCATTACGTACCCAAACCAATGCCTCCGACAGGTCTGACCGGTCACGATTTGCGCATATACGGTAACCCGTCGCCTTCAAATTACTTCAAAAGTAGGGAAATTAATCTTAACGAATGTGCAGATTACGATAGTTACTATTATCCTGAACACCAATACGACTATTACGACTATAATGATAATGACGACTATACCAATACTGTGACCTATGACTATGACGACACACATCATTACCAATACCATGACGCAACTGAGAAAAACGATCAAGATAACGTAGACTGCCTTCTGCAAGCAGTTCGACTCAGGATTTTCAAAAGACTCGTTCTTCAAAAATCCAAAATAGAAGTAAACTTACATATGCAGAGACAGCTTCCATACATATGTATTTCTAACCCTCCGTTAAAATTTCTAATCGATACCGGGGCGAATCAGTCCTTCATTAATCCAGAAGCTATACAAAAATATTTTTCACATATACCTTTAAATTATGATCCGTTCGAGGTAACTAATGTGCATACTACAACTAAGAATAACTATTCAATAACTATTCCATGCTTTTCCGAATTCCAAGAGCCTGATAGTATTAAATTATATATTTATAAAATTCACGATTACTTCAATGGCCTTATTGGTCTCGACCTATTAGAGAAATGGGAAGCTAGAATAGATCTAAAGGATAGATTACTTGTAGCACGATTAGCTAACAACCCTATCATAATGTATAACTCTAGGAATGTAAAGTTTTACGAGGACGTGATAATGGGATGGTATCTTCAAAATTTATAAAACTACCTATTAATGTCCATGACGGAAAAGTCTTAGTTAGCGAACAGTATATGTCTAATTGCATCATAAACGAATGTCTAACATTAGTGTCAAATAACCGCGGTATTATTTAGGTATTCAACCCGACTCTGCACGATATAATTTTCTCCCTAGATCGCCCAATATGTGCCGAGACGTATCACAACGTGTCCTGTCACAACGTTCAATCACTCCCGCGTTACAAAGAAGTATTATCACGTTTACGCACCAACCATCTAAATGCCGAAGAATGCGCTAATTTAGAAAGATTATATGCCAAATACGCTGACATTTGTTATATAAAAGGCAAACAACTAACATTTACTAATAAAATAAAGCATAGCATCGGGACCACTGATGGGATACCGATGTATACTAAAAGATATCGGTACCCTTACGTTCATACGGAAGAAATTGAACAACAAATCAGTAAAATGTTAGAGCAAGGTATAATTCGTCCATCCGAATCTGCATGGAGCACTCCCATCTGGATAGTTCCTAAAAAAGTTAATGCTTCTGGCAAGACTAAATGGCGACTCGTAGTCGACTTTAGGAAGCTAAATGAAAAAACCGTTAATGATAAATACCCAATACCGAATATATCGGATGTACTAGATAGGTTAGGAAATTGCCAATACTTCACAACCTTGGATTTAGCCAGTGGATTTTACCAGGTCGAAATGAACCCTAGTGACATCCCGAAAACCGCATTCAACATTGAACATGGGCATTCCAATTTCTTACGGATGCCCATGGGCTTGAAAAACTCTCCATCCACGTTTCAGCGTATCATGGATAACGTGCTCCGTGACCTCCAAAATACAGTTTGTCTCATGCCCTTTTTACTGGAAATGAAGCATTCCATCTTAGTCCTCACGGGGTGGCAACGCATCTGCATTTTGATTCGCAAACGAGGATAGATGTAGATGTCTATGGGCCGCAGCAACCACTTACCATCAGGTGGACTGTGTGCTCGTTTGTCACCCTTATCCTATAAAAAAAAATTATATTATTGTGGTCAGCATTTCCTTGCAAGAGCACATGGTAAATCTTGAGAAAGTATTTCAGAAACTGCGGGAATCCAACTTTAAAATACTTACTTATAAATACGCTTATTTAGGACATATAATTAGTAAAGATGGCATTAAGCCAAATCCTAGTAAAATATCAGCCATAGAAAAGTATCCATTACCCAAAACCGCAAAAGAAATTAAACAGTTTTTAGAAGAAATACATACTAACACACCGAGATCAAATGAAAACAGTGTATGAAATAATTAACGAATATTCTTTATCCGAACATTCAACATTTGTAAATAATCGGAATAAATTGCGGTAACCAGAGGTTGAATACCAACCAAACTAACAAGTTTTCATTTCCAACCCCATGACCATGTTCTAGCTGGCTTACCAATATTTTTTTTTTATAGAATAAGGGTGACAAACGAGCACACAGCCCACCTGATGGTAAGTGGTTGCTGTGGCCCATAGACATCTACTTACTATCTTCGTTTACGAATCAAAAAGCAGATGCGCTGTCACCCGTGAGGACTAAGATAGAATGCCTCTTGTACAGTAAAAAGGGTCTCCGGTTCTCTACACTCACCATACGAAACACGGCATCATTAAGCTGCTATTTTACGCTGGTATTCTTGTTACTATACATTTACACGTCTAGGAAACGCGGTCCGATAGGGAATTCTAGACTTAAACGTGTACCTAAAACTGTCGATTTGTTACAGGACTCTAAAATTACTGACTATACTGACCGTGCTGACGATCGAAGCTCAGTAGATAAAACTTGAATATCTTGAAGACGGACCAGGCCTACTACCATTTAGACTTGGACCAACGACTCTCATAACTCACTATCATACATTTCTTCAATATGTAAAACTTGACGACATCAGAGACAAAGAAACCTTATTGTAGGTACAGCTACAGAACTATAAGAACAGACTTGATAATGACACTAACTTACTGTACGAATTGCAAATGGACTACCTTTCTAGCAAATTAGATAAAGTATTAATACAACTAAATAGCTTAGAGCCTAGTCGCACTAAGAGAGGTCTAGTAACCGGATTAGGCTCAATGATTAAGAGCGTAACCGGTAATCTAGATTATTTAGATGCCGCGAAATATAATAATGCCATAAATGTTTTGAAGGATAACCAAGATAGGATCGAATCAGAATTCAATTGTCACATTAGCATTAGTAAAGAGTGGACGTTGCAACGTAATAGTGTAATATCACAGATAATTGAAAATGAAAACAAAATTAACTCAACACTTATCCAATTATTAGAAAGAGCCGCTTAAAGAGATAGTAGCCTCATCAAGTACGCTAAGTTTGCCCAACTCCTAACAATATTAATAAAAAATATCGATGATATGCTCAATGAGCTTAATAGGATAGAAAATATATTAGCATTTAGTCGTGCATCGGGCACCTACAATTCCACGTTAAGTGTTAAGGTAATTAAGTCTATGTTAGTAAGATTGAAACAAATTTATGATAAGGAACATGTATTAAATTTAGAGACTAGAGAATATTACGATATCATTAAGTCAGGTTATTATTTCACAGAAAATCAAATAGTAATTATTCTAAAATTCCCTGTTATTTCCAAAGACACCTTCGACCTATTCCGCTTATCCAGTTTACCTAACAAAAATCACCAATCTAATATTCCACCCTGTCCTTTAATAGCCACTAATAGAGAAAAAGTTGTGTACATGGAGACAGAATGTCCGAAGTTGAGTAATCGATACCTATGCGAAAAGGAAACGAACACCCAAATTCGAACACAATCCGACTGTATCCAGAATCTCATCATCAATCAGTCTATAGCAAAATCCTGTAAGATAACCGACATTGCAATATCGAAAGATGCCATGGAACGTCTTGACGACAAGCACTACATCATCTCCTTCCCTCAACCAACTAAGATCCATACAATATGCGGGCGTGAAGATAATACTACATTACAGGGTAGTTACTTAGCCACAATACCAATTAAGAGCTTCCAAGGAACACAAAAATTTACCATCACTAATATTAACGATCAAGTAGAAGGCTATCCCCTGAAACTAATGAAAATACCAATGGATATAAACGCAAAAGACACTTCAGCGGCACCACAAATATGCCTTAACACAATCAACCTGAAAGGACTCCATGCAGCCCAGGACCAACTCAACTCAACTCAACCACCACTTCATCTGAGAGAGGTGCATCTCCTAACTTTATATCACACTACTATTCCCTTTTAGCGTAGTAGTATTCGCTATCATAATCTCAGTTCGTTACTACAAGACTTAGAAGCAAGAACAGATCCGAATAACACCCAACATAACTACGAAAAGCCCGAAGAATCTAAATTCGAAAAGGCATTACCGGCAACTTTTTCTCTCAAAGTTCTAAAACAGTTGCTGATCTGAGGGTGGAGGAGTTATAACATAGCCTCATAGGTAAAGAGCCTACAGAGCAGCGACCTCGATACATTGCAGCGGCACGAAGCGCAACTCAGCAGAACGTGAACATTGACGTCAACGGATGCAATCTGAACTCTGCATAGACCTTTACTTTATTTTTAATGTAATAATTAAAATTCATTCTAGATCTAGCATCGATCTGATTCACTATTGTTTTAGTTATAGTAATTATATTGTAATTTTTATATTATAATAAAGTATTTTAAATTAGTTTCGGTTTTTTTGGATCCTTCGGCTGCAGTTAACGTAATTACTTGCCCACACAACAAGGAGAGGAATGTAAATAAATGCTCAATTTGCATTCTAAAAACGTAATTTTATTTTACCATTTGACAAACAAAAGTATAGAAGAAAACATGGAAAAGGTTAATTGGACAGGTTGGTTGGAATCCAAAGATGAACTCAACAATTTGCAGCAAACATTTTCTTGAGAAATATGAAAGAAAAAGCAGAATAAAAAAAATTATTAAAAGAAGTCATTCTTACATTATTTGTACCAGTAACTATAATATTGTTACCCTAAGACTTTTTAGAAATTTTACTTCCAAAACTTTAGGTAAAAACAGATAGATTATTATTATACATTATAAAACTGTAGTATATTAAAAATAAAAAATCTTGTGTTTATCCTATTTAAGCAATTATGAACCCTTGTCTCTTAACAAAGTGTCTTTTATCAAACAAAAAAAAATGTATAATAAAGTTATATTATGGCTTAATCACACGCACCTAATGGTCACACTAGTATAATATTAATAGTATCACGCTATTTTCCCCAAGGGGTTGAGTGGAGCTTTGGATTATATTCCCAAGTCACAATGATAAAACTTTTAGCGGTTAGGTATAGATATTTAGTAATGCTCCTGAAACGCCACTAGACGCCCGCTCATGAGACGCGATAATATAAATTCCATAGTATTTGATACTCACAACGCTCGATGCCCGATTCATGCTTGATGGCTGAAGACATTTTGCCGAGGGCTTAAATAGCGTGGCTTATCACCTACAGCGTTAGTGGTAGAGAAAAGGAACTCGTGGTTAAGGTTACATTCATATTTAAGTCGAATGTTTAAATAAACTTCTATAATGTATTTAATTATTAATTATTAAATGTTTGTAATTATCAAAACTAATAGGTACTTATATGAAAAATAAAGCAGCCATTATGTACTCCGTGTCTTCGTTTTTATTTCCCCATCTAAACATTTTATAAAATATTTAAAATATAAATAGGTATATACTTAGTTAAGTATATACCTATTTATATTAACAATATGTTAAAAAAGAAGTTCCGGAGAAACTGTCCATGGCAGTAAATATTTTTCTCCAAAGATCATAGCTCGAAAATACAACTATCCGATCTAATTCTTGAGGAGTTTTTTTTTTAAGTTTATCGGTAGAGTCACCTGGGATTTTATACATTTGAAATCAAAACAAACAAAAAGCAGGTAGGTTCAGCTTATTCCCAGGAAAAAATTCAGTAAATTTTTTAAGATATTCAATTTCGTGCACTAGGCAATTTTTTAAATATTTTTACCGCTTCCTTAACAATCATTTTTCGATAGTCCTTGTAAGTAAAATGTACATCACTAGCTAACCCACACAATGACCAATCAAAATTAGTTACGCGTTTTCGGGCTGTCAAGTCGTCTATATGCCAGTATATTCTAAGGGAAAATCTGCGCTACGCACACTTTCTCAGGCTCACACACAAAAATAATCGTCTGTCAGACTGTTACCTTCTTATTAGTTTGTGGTCACTACGAAACTCACATATAACAATTAAAACAATACACTGACAATATCACATCCATAGATACATTCTGTGTCATAACAGTGTAATCACGGAGCAAATACAAAGAGGAGACGGTCTTAGCAACTGTGCACTGTGATTCTTCAACTAGGTACTGACGTCATCACAGTGGACGTGGCTTTAGTTAGTATAGTGCCACCAACTTATCTGTTCAGGTGGACAAAATTGGAACTAAAGCCGCCGTTTTGTAAATGACATTTCGCTGTCAGTTATTATTTATTCTGAGCTATCAGGTGAGTGTTTTTAAAAAGTGCAAATAAAATGCCTAAAGATCTTAAAAGTGATGCGGGACAGATTATCTTGAAAGTTTTATCTTTTATGGAAGGCGAGAAACGTTTACAAGCCCCAACTATACAATTTGAAAAGCTGTATGAACGCGTTGCTGCCGCGACAGGTTTGTATTGCCAGATATGGAAAATTAAAATCACCAAATAATTTATTGGGAAACATAGTAAAAAATTTTATTTCAATCTACTGTAAAACTGTTGGTAAATCTTATGTTCCAACGCCCCAATTAATTGAAGAGGCATTTCATAAAATTACACCAGTGTAGTGGAAAAACATTTGTAATCATATAAAAAACTTGAAAATTAATACAGACTAAAATACGCGTATTTAGATGAACCCTTTATTATAGCGTGTCAGAGCGATATCGAAAGCGACTCCAGTGACTGTGACTCAGAAGATGAATTATTGGAACCAGTAGCTAGCGCGGGTACATCTTTCAAAACACAAATTCCTGGAGTTCAGCCGCTTGAACACCGAGGTCGCGACCACAATTATTTTTATAAAATATAAAAAATATATATTATAACACTAATTCTCATTAATTTTAATATATTAACAAGAAATTTGTTTTATTTTATATTATGTGTAATGAATATGTAGTCACCTATTTCCTCGGTGAATTTCTTAAATGGCAATAGTAAGCACTTCACTAGCGACGCTGTCAACTGAACAG